ATGGGCCTCAGAGTAGCAATTCCAAGTGGATTCCTAATGATGAGAAAAATGCATCTGGAAATGGAAACACTCATGGAAATCCGGATCTCAATGTTGGTGATGTAAGCAGAATGCCATTCTTGCGTTTTGTATTTTCTTTTTATATTTTTGTTGCATTTCAGTTGCTTATTTGCATGGCTGATAGGAAACAATCAGGGAATTTTTCTTGTGTTCTGTAAATATGGTTTACCTATTTCTTGATTCAATTTTGAATGGATAAATGCCTCAATTGGCTTGGAGCAAATTTATCCATCTAGCATTGTAATGCTGGCTATAACCTTAGCCCCGTAAGATATATTAAGTCCATAGACCAGAGAATGAGTAATTGAGGTGAGAGGTTTACCGATTACAACATGCATCATGGAAGCTGTTTGAGTTTTCTAAATCAGTGTTATTCTCCATTAGTAGTTTAGATCAAATTATTTCTTGAAAAAGACAAAACGTGTTGTCTGATCCCTTTCAGTTTCATTTTTTGGTAGTCTTTCTTATGCTGTTCTTCTGTTTTGGATTTCATAATAGTATTGGCTTTCCATCTTTGGTATAGCTGTTGGAAGCAATATCCAGATGCTAATTTTCTGTGCTCCAAAAGCAACCCTTAATCATCTTTCAAATCATCTCCTGTTATCCCTTAGTTGATGCATGTGAAAGAGCAGAAGCATTCTTTCTGTGTCTCTTGATCCAATCCCATATGGCAAGGGGCATTTAAATGATGAGAATTGCTTTTTAAAGTAAAGTTTTGGAAGGTCAGGCAATTTCCCCCTTCGATGCACCCTTTTTTCCATCATTAGAACTTTTCGCATCAATTATATGCAACAATGTCAATATCATAGCATGCAGATTTATAATCACTTCGATTTTTATTTCTTTTTTTGGGAACTGGTGAGGGTGAGCAACTTGAAAGTTCTACTGTGAGAGACATGGCTCACAAACCTGCCCACTTTGTGCCTAGTAACCCTTGATTTTTTTTCTCTAGTTAATATTTAATGATGGTCTTTGGGTTGATATTAACACTTTCTAACTTTTTATGACACTACCACTGGTTGATTGAGGTAGTTGCATAGTTTTTTTTTTTATTTTTTCTTTTAAGTTGCAATTACTCCATTTTCGTGCAATATTATCCACATTTTATGTGAAGGCATCATTTCCTTTTTGTTTTTTATAATCAATTGAAGTGAAGAAGACCCTGTTTCAGCAGACTGATTTGTTGTTTTAGTAGTTATTGTCTAGGGGAAAAGAAAATGGAAAAAATAGAATGCTTCAATTATCTATACAGCAAAATTTAGAAAATTGGTTTTGCAGATCCAATGTCAGTGTGGAATCTTCTTAGAGAGTTCCAGATCAGAAAGGTTCACATGGCTGTTTTTCTTAATGGATATGGCGGAACTGTTGGGGTATGTGCAAAGCCTCATATTGAAACTCTACTTAAACAGAACCATCCATTGTGTTGAGATTTTTTTATTATGATGAAGTTCCAACTTCTTCCTTTTTATTTATTTTCATTTTGTGACGCATGTCAACTGATGCTAACTTGTAATATCTTGAAACAATAGGAGACAACATTTGTGATATTTTGAACTTTATTCTACAATTAGATGCTAACAATGCTTCCCCTGCTAAGAGGCTAAAAAACTAAACAAAATTTTTTCAATTGTAGCTAAAAGTCCTAAAGGCAAAAACCTTATTCTTTATTAGCTTGTTCTTTTGCCCACTTAAAGTAGTATTTGTTCATTGTTTGTTGGCATCCAAATGCCATAACATAAACTCAATAAAACAAATGATGGTAAAAAGTCAAACAGGATAATATGTTGACCACTTAAAATCTAAATGGTTGGTATGACCCCTCAGTCCTTAACTCATGAGCTTCTAGCTGTAGGATGTTATTCAAATCTTACAACTTCAGAAGGTTTGGCATGTAACACTAATATCAGGTTCAACATGGTAAAGGAGACAGAGGAGTTCCCTACAGTTGAAACTCGAATGCTCTCTCATATATTTTGAAATCATTTTTCTTCTAAAGTTCAGATAAGAGTGGAATATGCAGCATGAGAACACAAAAAGTCTAGAACTTACTATGCATGGGTTTTCTTCCTCTTTTGGATTGCTTATTTAACAGTATTTGTGCTCATTTTATTGACTGATTGATTTTATATATTTATGTACTCATTTTTTGATGGAGCAGATAGTAACCTTAGAAGATGTGGTTGAGGAGATTTGTTGGAGAAATCTTTGTTGAAAATGATTCAAAGGTAAGCCTAATTACCTCATTAATGACCTTAATGTTCTGTTACTGAATCTGTTATTGGGGGCAAGTCTTTTAACTATATAGATAACTTTAGATATTGGATTCTATTATTCCTCAGCAAGGGGATGCTAAGAAAACTTGTTGATGAAGTCCAAAACAAATTGGTGTTGTACATGTGCTGCTAATTTTCTACGGACCAATTGATCTAGATGCGGCTTTATGTCGCCAGTTTCTGGTCTCATTTAGTTTGGCATGTACTTTTTCTGTATTTTCCATGTGACCAAGGAATTTCATGTCACTTCTCACGTCTTGTAGATATTTCTTTACTCTATAGGTCTCATATCAATTAGTGTTACAAGGTTCAGCTCTACTTGATTCTTAAGTGATTCATTTATACATATGTATAATGATTCTCAAGTGATTCTTATTTTATGCATTTGCTGCTAATTGTATTAACAGGAGGTGATCCACAAGAAAACTGGCTATATTGTAATGAGAGCAGAGGGAGTATATGATGTTCATGCCCATACATCTATTTATTGGCTGAGGACTTGAATATCGAAATGCCAGAGGTATATTATTCTATACTATTACTGGTTTTCATTGTTATGGTGTATGGAGCACTGAATGGAGAATTTAAACATTAAAGCTAAAGACTCAGTTATTAGGATCATTTCTACCTTTGATTATTTCTTGTATTTTACACTTCTCCTGCTATTTCCACAGGCTCATTAAAATTTCATTCTCTACCACATAGTAGTTAAATGTAGGAATCTTAAAAATAACCAGGCTTACAAACTTGATATCTCTGATCCCAGTTGCGAGTGAAATTCTGTTTATTGTGACTGTTGTGGGATTATTATGCTTTATGGTTAAGTCACTGCTGCTTGAAAAATTAAAAAACAAATGAAAAAGAAAAAGGAGAGAGGATAAAGTAAATGGTTAAAATTGCAATGTGGGTTTCAATTCATTTTGAAGTAAAGGCACAGTTAATTCTTTTTCCTTTTTCCCTCTACCTCTATGACAATGTGAAGGTGGTAAAGGTAAATGAGCTGGATCTTTTGTGACCATAATGTCTTTGAGTTTGAGATTTGGTGTTTTAGGTGCTCTAGGACTTTCTATGACATAGATACTTGCATTTCAACTCTTGCACGCTGGTCATTCTTTATTTTGTTTGTTTTATTTTACTTTTTCATATTGTGGGTATCCAAACCTTTGGGCACCAATGATTCTTTATACAATAGATTAATTTGCATATATTTCTCTCTTTATATGATTGGTAAAGGTGTTGATATTTTACTAGAAAATCAAAACAATGTCTTGTATATCGTACATGGCAGGCTTAGCTTATTTCCTTCAAGGGGGGTTTTCCATTTTTACCTTTTTTTTTTTCCCTTTCTTTGTTTTTTTCTTCAACTCACTTATGAAATTATTAATTTGAAGCTATCCTATAGAGCAACGACAAATGATCTTAGATCTTTTTAATACTTTCCGTTTCCTTTTCTCCTAAATGAATTTGTTTCCGGTCTACATGTATTTGTGTACACTAAAAGGCATAGCACCTTTGTTAAATAAAGAAGAAAAAAATGAATTTTTTTTTGCCATTGCAATTTTGAGTATTAGGTGATATGTTAAACTCAGGTATGTCTGGGTGATTATTGTAGATATTTTGTTTTCATGCAATGGAAAAGCTTGCCTTTTTCAAAAAAAAAAA